TGACATGCATCTTATATAATTTAAAGTTTTCATGATTTTCTTTAAGTTTATTTGTATTATAACTGATTGAATATTAATGTGTGATTACTACCGTAATAACATTTATGCTTTACAACGGCTTTGATAAGTGTACGATTAAATAAAGTTATATGCACTCTGCAAACACTAGGATCAAACACAAGCCAAGAATACTAGTTTCTCGACTCTACATTATTCATTCTTGAGGCAACGTATACGCTATTAGTCCCAGAAAATATACAAGGTCTCTCTATAACCAAATTTAATTATTCTATTAAAAATACCGTATAAAATTGTTATTATATATTAAATTAATACATGGTTGATAATAATCCCAGGGAATGAGGTGGTCGCACTCAAACTGTCTCTAAAATAAAAAAAAATATTTGTACAACCTTTCATATGGTATAATTTACTTTAAAAAAGTCCCACTGGGTTTCTTGCTGGATCTTTGCAGGACAGAGGTTTTATCCGAGCCAGTGATAAAGTAAAAAATGACTTAAGTATTACATGTGATTGTTGTTTTTCTTCGTAGCAATAATACTAATTAAATTAATAAGATATTTGATAGAATCACTCGTTACTTTGCGGAAATCCATTATAATAAAGATATTGATTTATTTGCAACCTTCCGCTAACTAAATACAATGATGTGTCTTACCCGGATTGAAGAGCACCTCCCGCCCAACCTCTATTATATTGCCTGCACTAATTCCGTCGACACTAGTCCCAGCACAACCACTCCCAACATCACTACTCCCGGCACCACTACTTCCAACACCACTATTCCAGGAAAGACACACCATCGACGATAATACGACACGTGTTTCGCCTCTACACGAGGCATCCTTAGGTGATGTAGACTCTACGGCGGTCTTAGCGGTACATAGCGGTCAGCTAGGTCAGTTATTTATTACTAATTAAATTATTTCCTTAAAGTTATTACAAAACATTCTATTCTACATATTCCTTAAAGTAATTAGAAGGTATTATGATTGCCTTTTTTTTATTTATTTATTTATTCTTTATTGCTTCCTTAAAACAAAAGAATACAAATGGCGGACTTAATGCGTTGAGACATTCTCTACCAGTCATATGATGGCGGCTTAAGGATTTGCGGGGACGTCGTGAAAACCAACGGTTTTTGATTTTCAAACCACACTATGACAATGACAGACTTGTGCTTTTTTAACGCCTTTTGCTTAAGATTTCGCCGGTGCTGGCTTGTTTCATTGCATTAAAAGTCCACCACCGTTGTTAACCAAGCCCTTAACAATCATTGCGGTGTATCTTCTTCCCGTTACCCATTACAGCCTATTAAAGTCCACTGCTGAACATTGGTTTTCTTCACAAATTGCCTAATAGAGGGAATATTTGCCATAGCTGCCATGCTTGGCAAGCTAGTTATTAAGAAGATGCTGCGGCCTTCTCCTGATTTGTTTTCCTCTGTTGCCTGTTATGACACCCACGGGATGATATGGAGTAGTGGACATTCTCACACCACCACTACACGGTACTACCCCCTACGGTCTATAAAACTGAGATTTCGTAAGCAGTTACGGATAGTGGGTTTTTTTTGGCTTTTGTGTTCATGTTTGGTTTTACAACCCTGTTTATCTGATTCATTTACTGCGGTAAATATATCTAGAAATGAGAATACTAAGACACAATTGTATTGGATGTTATGGGAATACGAATAATTTGCGTAGCATTGACTTAGACGCAAATGTAACCAATCGTACTTCGGGGAATCCGGATCGTATTTCTAAGGACATGGTAATAAATTTCGAAATTTAAAATACTCTATTTCCACTTCTATATAAATATATATTTAGTGTCATATGCTCTATCATTAATGCATACGTTGTTTAACATTGCGGAGGACAAAGTGAATCCAATAAAATGTAAGTTTACACACACTGCGTCACATCACATCTCGTTACACAGTTAACTAACTGCATTTACATCAAAACCATCCATTAATATAATTATGGGGGATCTATACCTGTATTTTTCTATTTTTATTTAACTATATTTTAAATAAATATTATAAATAAAGAGAACAGATATTGTTCATCCTTTAAGTGTTGGTCATAATGCGAAATATCACCAACAATTGCTAGAAACTCGAGCTTGATTCTCACCGGAACTGCTTAAATTTCTTATGGCAAATTAACTTTATGGTATTTTCATATGAGAACTACTGCTGGCAGGCTGTGAGATATTTCATCTTAGTCCTCAGAGGTGACGGATTTATAGCTTTTTTTATTCAAAATTGGTTATATATGCCCATGAGCCACTATATGTCCAAGTTATATATGTCCAAGTCAGTCCAATCAAGTGGACTGTAAGTCCGCTTGTCACTTCAATGTTATAAAAACTAACTTTTTACCCGCGGCTTCACTCGCATGGGCATGAATTTAGAAACATGAATAATATTATTTCGTACTAAAATTTTCAAATTAAAATTAAAATTAAAAATTAAGAATGTTTATTTCAATTACACAATGTTTTAACATACTTGATTTGGAGATCACCTTTTAAGCACGGAGATGCTTGTGTTAGGTGACTCCGCATGTCTTCAAAACTTAATCACTTGAAAAGAAACCTCCGTATCCTGTGTCTATATTGAACGTAGGAAATTATTAAAATTTAGCAATATGCTACAAAAACACAGAAGTAGGTTTATCAGAATTTCATTAATATCATACGTCTAGCAACCCCTTTTTTCATCGGGCATGTCTTCCGCTGTGTCCTTATTAAAAGAAAATTGCCATGGAATCAGAAATGCGTTATTTACATATTATTCATAATTAAATTTGATATAGTTTTGAGAATATAATGTTGAATTTCATGGTCTTTATTAATATTGGCCCCACTGATTATTGAATTAAAAATGTAGATATTGCCCATCGCTTTCATTAATAAATTTGAATACGCCGTAACGAAGTAGGGGTACATCTATAAGATTTTTTTATATAGGAGAGGGGGCAAACGAGTATGCGGTTCACCTAATTGGAAGTGACTACCGCCGCCCACTAGCAACTTCAACACTAGGGGCATTTAAGATGCGTTGCCAACCCTTTAAAAAGAGTATGCTCTTTTCTTGTCCCTAAGTCGTATCGGTCCGGAAAAATCTCAGGTGGTAGTCGATTCCACAAGAAAGTTGTGCGAGAAAGAAAACTTGTTGTTCAGAAAAATAATTTTTGGACCGCCAATTATCCAGGTGGTATGGATTGTTTGCGAGTTTTGTCGTGATACAGCATCAAAGATCATGTATATCATCCCATAACAGCACCCAACTCGTAAAATATGTAATGTATGTTGTGCTGTGAGATCTGTGGTGACGCCATCAATCCACCACTTACTTCTTGGTACAGTACCCCGTGTACAATATTAGCCTTTTTAAAGAATTAAGGTTGAAAAACGAGCACATAGTACGCCTGATATTTAGTGGATTCTATGGTCCCTTGAGACCTACAATTAAAATCGTGATTCCGGTAAAACGGGTACGGTTCCCGTCATTTAACATGCGAAACACTAACGTTAGAGCGTGGTCCTTCTTCGCTCAAACCAACCTGATGCTGCCGACTAAGATGGAATAACTCAAAGCCCGTAAACATACTGGCTCTCAAAACCTTTCAGACATATTGCACCATAGTGCAATCCTAGCGCCATAAATAGGTTTAAGTGTGGATCACCCAAACGGACTTCTAGAAAGAAAATAAATTTTACCACCTAGTATGTTTATACTTAAACAATATTTTTTGTCCGCCGCGCCGGTAGGAACTTAATTCGAAAGCAATTGAATCTGTCATCATAAAAGTTAAACAGATTTTATAAGGCAGTATTTCCAAAGATACGATTTTCTTGTCCTTATGCGTACGTTAGTATGTACATACTTCGTACGTACATTATACAACAAAATATGTACATACACATATTTTGTACGTACATACACGTCACAGCTATTCCACATTAAGTTACAGCTAACGAATGAAAAATATTTTTTTCAAGCTTGCAAATCCCCATCTACAACGCAACGCACCTGCAATGCCCCTGGTGTTGCGGTTGATCATGGGCGGCGGTAGTCACTTAACATCAGGTGAGCCGCATGCTTGTTTGCCCCCTCTTCTATAAAAGAAACAACCAAAATCTCTCGTTATACTGGAAGCACAACTTCTGCTGAGCGTTGGTTGGCTGCTCATGCACGCAATGCTGATACTTTCATTAATTATTCTTTGTTGATATGGTTTTAGAAACAAACAAATAATTTTTAGGGTGCATTTCACTAATTAAAATAATTTAAATTTACAAGATCATTATTTTTAACCTCATATTTTTGAGTTTAACTGCAATTTAATTTAAAATAATACATGAAATATTCTTTGTTTGCCTAATCACCGTTGTCTGTAGTCAATGCGAGTAAATTTTGCGAAATTCAAATGTTGTCTAACTATTGGGCACGGCAGTTCTGTCACGCAAACTTAACACGCTCCTAAATTTAACCGTAATTTCGATACAGGTATTATAAATTTACATTCAGAACTGCACCAATTTTTCTTATAATTACAGCGGACTACTAATTGATTTTGTAGACAAACTTTTTAATTAGAGGCGCAGAGGCAACCATTGCATTGCGGCATGCAAACATGCGGGACTATGCCTGCGTAGCGGGTGCGTAGCGTGAATTAGCTTTTCCCGCATCGCATCACAGGGTGAGATCGCGCGGAAGCGAAGGTTACGCCCGTGACCGCGCCCGCCGCTGCCGCGATAGCGTCGCCAGCCGCGCAGTATCGCGCCGCGCTCGTTGCTCCTCGGACCTCGAACCTCGGAGCTCGCGAACCAAGTCTGAACCTACCTGCTCCGGAGTGATGTGTCTCGTTTGCTGATCATGTGCAGGCGGCGTATGTGTGTTGTGAGAGTGTGCGCGAGAGGCTATAAGCGGCGCCGGCCCGCGCACCCTTAGTCTGGTGCTAGACATGTGGTGGCTCCTAGGACTCCTTTCGGCGCTCGTCGCGCTTGGTGGCGGCTCTACCTTTGCGCCAAACAAGGAGTTACTCGAATGTGCAAGGTTCGTAGAGGACGTCCAATTAGAACAACTGTCGGGCGATGATTATTTTTAAAGTGCGAATGTAATCGCGCAGCTTTACAAGAGTTGTCATTAACACTGAGACCTCGATTGAGCTACAAAAATAATTTTAGATGGGCAAGCCAGACATGGCCGTTCGCCCGATGTAAATACCGTCAACGAAAGAAACAAGTAAAAAAAAAACTCATTACATACAATAACTTTACGAGGAATTTCATATTTAGCTAATATTTAATTTAATTTTTAATTGTTTAATTTGTATATAAATTTTACTCGTTCTAATTAGTTGTTTTCACAGATATTTTCTGTAGCTCGTTTGGTGTTGACAGCAAGGTTATCTACTGTCTTTCTAGCAAAAAACAAATCATATGTTACACCACCACACAAATTATAATAATTATCTGTTAACCTGACACATAAAATTAATGTAAGAACAACAATATCACAAATATAACTAAAAAATATTTAAAACCTGGCAGCAGCATTCTGGCGGCCAGAATGAGCGACCGAAATGGTCCATTCCGAGTCGCTAATTCGTCTCCTTGGCGAGATAGTTGTTGACATAAACAGATCGTTCTCATCCCCATAATTTAATACCGATTAGATAAACCCCGTCTGGTGGAATGATCTGGCATATTTTGACTAAACAACTAAGCGCAATATAGACAATAATCAATCGTAGCTAGGCGAAAATAAAATTCCCTTTAATATTATTACTAGACGACATTATTTAGTTGGTTTCGCTGAAACTCGAAAATGGCTCGAACAATTTAAAAAAAAACTTATGTGCGTTTGAGTGGTTTCCTGTATGACTTAAATTCACAATAAAAGCCTGTAGGTGGCGCTGTTGTTGAGATCCAGAAATCACCCGAGCGAAGCCGGGGCGGATCGCTACCAAAAATATATTTCTTTAATCAACATTTTAATTAATACCAAAAAGCATAAACAAAGTACAAAAACTTTTTAACTTTGGGAGTTCAAAGGCGGACGACACACCATTTTAATAATACGCGAGCAACCTGAGTTTGATTCTCAGTGCGGGCAATATACACAGCCTTTTTAGTTACAAATTTAAGCTTCTGTCGTGTTATGATTACAAATGAATTAATTAATATAGCAGTGTACAAATATAAGAAATATAAATCTATTAAAAGTTCGATAAGTAATGGAGCAGAGAGTAACAATCTCTACCCGTTACATTCCTCTCGCTCTATAACAAGAAAAGACATCTGTATGTGACTTAGCTATGAGACATTTGTGCAGGCTATTACTTAACAAATTTTTACTGAAATATTTGTTTATCAAAAAAGCTTCCGTACAAACGACATTTTACTGAAGGCGACGCTGCAGTACTATATTACTTTTATAATGTCTATTCATCTATTTACATGTAAATAGATCACGTTAATAAATTAATAGGGATACGAGTAACATATTAATTTGTCGAAAAGATTTTTACTGTAATCAAAATAATTACAAAATTAGATTGAACGTAAAAATAGATGATGAGAAAACTACTTTTACGGATTTTATCGCGTTTAATTTTAATTATTTTAAATTTTAATTCCCGACGTTTCGGGTGCTTTCCAGCACTCCACGGGGGACTGAGGTGACCGACGTCCCGATGTCATTGTTAGATGATAGTAATTCAGAAACAGGTCTTACACCTTTATATGTATTTTTTTATAGAATAAGGGTAACAAACAAGCACGCAAATCACCTGATCGGATTCTGATCCTGATCGAGTGCTGTAGCCAATAGATTCCATCCTACTTGTATCTTTGATTAAAAATCAATTTCGATACCGGTAAAGAGGGTGTCCGGTTTCCCGCACTCACCATACGAAACACGCTAGTATTTTGTGAGAGTACAGTCCCTTGCAAGTGAAGCGGAATTATTCGTTCTACAACTAAAAAATAACTGCAGCCTGTCTCTAACACGTTATATATTATAAGTTAGGTATTTTTTTACTTATTTTAAGCCAGTACTTGACTATAATGCCACCAGGTGTTAAGTGGTGATGAAAGCTTAGGTTGTAAATTGTACTTCCTTAAAGTAACAAAAAAATTAACGTATGATGAATACAATATATTGATGGCAATGCATAAGTTATTTTTAGTATTTTTAGGTGCTTAAATTTATAACGTACTCGGCTTCAAACGTCGTGATAACTGTATATTTTTTTATAGAATGGAAAACAAGCGAGCACACAGTCCACCTGATGGTAAGTGGATGCTGTGGCCTATAGACACCCACATTTATCCTCAATTAAGAATCAAAATGCAAATGTTTTGTCACCCCTGAGGGCTAAGATAGAATGATTCGATTCCAGTAAAAAGGGTCCCCGGTTCTCTACACTCGCCATATGAAACATAGCAGCATTAAGCTATTACTAACTATAGGTACAATTTTACGCTGGTATTCTGTGAGAGCGTGGTCCTGCCCCGATCGAGCCGACCCATTCGTGCTACCACGTAAGCTGCAGCGTGGCTCTACCACGTAAAAATGTAAAATAACAAAAAATCATGGTTACGTCATCGTTCGCACGGGAGCAGCAAAGAGGATATTTCTCCGCTCTATTACTCTTCACTTCACTCGTCTTCACTTATTATCTCAGTGGCTGCCTCGTTAGTCGAGTAGTCATAAGCGCAATTGCTGTTCATTTAGTCCCGAGTTTAAATCCTTAGTGAGTCAAAACTAGTGAACAGATTTTTCTGTCAAGAAATTCTCAGTCGCAGACTGAAATCAGAAAGTTTGTATTACCTATTTCATGAGTGACGTTGGTGCTATATCTAATCTAGAGGAAACAGAGAGTGCACCTGTACTTGCGCACACACTCAATCTGCACTCTGCACTGTAATCAATCCCATTTGGTTAGTATCCGTTGAGAATGGCCGCTGTAATCGAAATTCAATCTGGAGGACATTATTATTCAATCAGAAGTAAAAAGACACTGTGCTTTACAATGGGACATAATATATTAACTTCGACTGGTTTAATGTTTATATATTATAAAGAACCCTTATTAAACAAGGATTATAATGTTCTTATGTGTAGCATGGTTTATACGTAGTAGAGCTACGCTGCAGCGTATTGTGAATGCAGCATGAATGAGTCGACTAGATCAAAGAGGGACCACGCTCTAACAGAATACCAGCATGAATAAGCAGGATAATGTTGCAGTTACATATGGTGAGTGACTAGAAGCTGAGACCCTTCGAGAGACTTTTGTCAATGAGACAGGCCATCTTAGTCCACAGTGACACAAGGATAATGCATCTGCATTTTGATTCTTAATCGATGATAGGCCACGCCATCCACTTACTATCAGTTTGACTGTGTGTGTCACCCTTACTTCATTAAATAAGCACTACCCTTATTTAAAAAAATAACCTTTTTCTTTCTTATGGTTTAAATAACCATAGAGTATCTAAGTAAAATTAATATTGGCTAATAAAATGTATTGAAATTTTTCCTTTTTTTTTTGTGCGGCGTGTATTTTTAATTTAATATCTCTTTGCCTACGATATTTGCAAAATTAAATATTCGCATTATTTTCGAGGCGATGAGTCGAGGCACCCACGCTGCACGAAGACACGCAATATCAACGACATGTATGGGCCAGTTACCGAAAATGAACGTATCTGGTTTGATCGTTTATCGTTTTACAAACTTCGACCTCAATGAGTATATAAATAAGTTATTAGATACAAATTGAAAGCTATACTGGAAACGTATTCATCTCAAACGTAACTAACGTTTCAACAGAATGAAAGTCACATAACTATACTGATTCATTGACGTCGTATCAGGAACATAAGAAAGCTTTAATAGTGGTGTATCCAGCTCACAAAAAAAAAGTATTTTGAATAATTTATGAATGAAAGAGGATCCTTGTTAAATCTTTGTTACCCATCATATTCACAATACCATATCTACAAGTGATTTTTTAAATTGTGTATTAAAAAAACACACTATGATACCACGTTTTTCTATTCAGAGCTATGTTCATTATTTCAAGTCCCTAGCTAATCGGGAACGATAGAGACAGACAAACAAGAAAGTGACTTAATAAAAACGTGGTAATAAATGAAACAGATACTGGCCATATTCTTTTTAATTTGTTTTCGTTGTGAAATTGTTTCATCATGTCAATTATCACGTTTGTTTAGATGTTCGATATTAAAAGTAAAAATACACAGACAGGTTTCTTTCACGAATAAAATTGTGGTGTAAAATATTTTTTACTTACAGATGCCTTGTGCATGTTGTAGATTGACATTTCTGCGTTCACAATATGTCACTTATACGTAATATTATGATATACTATTTTTTACCCGCGACTTCGTCTGTTCGACTTGCAGGTCTATAATAATAGTTTTTTGGAAAACAGTTGAATTATCAAAAAACCACATAAGCTCATTTCTTTGTTTTTATTTTATTTCATTTTATTTTATTTTTTATTTCAAACCAAATTCATATTGCAAAACTATTTGCAATATGGATAAATGTTTGAAATAAAAGTTAAAGATCTTTTATCATCGAACAAGCATATACAGGAGTTGAATCGCAAAATTGTAACTTTACAACCTTTATATCGGCCAAAAAGTTTTTTCTCGCCAAGAATAAGTTTCTACTTGTTCAGTCACTTATTCTGCCGATTACTGATTATGTTGATGTGCGTTACCTAGATCTGTCTCAACATCATCCTCAAACATTGAATGGTCTACTTAACAACTACATCTTCTTTTCGCACGCAGCTAAATTGGCTGCCTATCCTTAGATATGTTATAATACTCTGTGCACTCGCGTATTTTAAATAGCTCTCACAATGGTTCTTGTCCATTTTCCGGGTAATCTCAAGTTGCTGAAGCCTTGGCATCGTACTGGTCACTTATCTCACTCTTTCTCCCTCACGTCCATTAAACTCTGGAACAACATTCCTCATGCGTGACATTAAATTTTCCTAACCTCTGTTCCAT